AACCTCTTGCAATGATTAAAATTGGTTACATATTTCTTATATCCTAAGGTAAGCAGTGCCGTAAGGACTCCTCAAAAAATTAGCTGTCAAGACTAAGCTCGAAGTCACGTGACTTGTTATCTCGTGTGATTTCTTCATTACTGCAAATGCTACAATGGTAGAATCTCCTTCAAACTTCAACATACAAGTAGGTCTTGTTTGATTAGACGTTTATTATGCATTCAGTCAATTCCAGTAATGCTCATCCCTCCCCTCCCCCTCTGGTCAACTCCCAGTTTCTGGTAGTTTTTTGTTTTCTTTCTTCCCCTCAAAAATTGCAAATTTTCCAGTGCGTTTGTTAGAGATATTGATACCCCTGCAAGAGAGCAAAAAAGAAGGCAATTGGGCCACCCCTGGGCTTATCCACAAAATACCAAGTACTCAAAGTTTTCTACAACTTATTTCGTGTGTCATTTTGTTTATAGGTGTCAGGCTCCTGGACAGTAATTAAATTTAAAATACCCCACCCCTGGGATTACGACATGAGTAAATGCCTATTTTTTTTTCTTGGGGATTTGAGACCCCGCAGGCCTGGGGGGGGGNATGGGGAGCTTTGAGAGGCCCCGCTGCTAGAGTTGACTGGTGCACTATGGTGTGGAGCACTGTGTTGGATTTGATGAGAATAATTATTAGCAGGTCCAATTTGCACTAACATGACCGTTGTAATTTGTGTTTGATAGTTTAGTGAGACCCGGGGGCTAGCTTCGCGGAGGCCTTTTAGATTAAGATGTCTGGTAATTATATGTCCAATACAAAAGACTATTGTTGAGAAACCATGCTTATGATGCATCTTAACTTAGGAGAGCTTCGTAATTTCAGCCACCGCTCTTCAAAATAGTTTATGACCATTTTAAAAATGTTCATTCATGGCTTTAGTTAAAACTGTATAAGTAGTGATATCCAGAGACCATTTGAAAAATTTTCATTCACGGCTTTAGTTAAAATTGTATAAGTAGTGATATCAAGAGACCATTTTAAAAATGTTCAGTCATGACTTTAGTTAAAATTGTATAAGTAGTGATATCAAGAAATACTGTGACTTAGCTTATGACAAGAGTGTCTGGAGAATCCCGTTACACGTTACATCCCTTTTGGTGAGCTGTTGTTTAAAAGTTTCAGCTAGTTCAAGGTTTTGTGAAATCTAGGAAATTCCAAATTTTAACTGATCTGGAAAGGTCATAACATGACATCCTAATCAGTAAATAAAGAGTTCTAGTTGGAATGCGCGTAGTGGTGATTTAAATGGCTTGGTTTGATTTGGACCCAGTTGGTAAAAACACATGTACATAGACAATTTTGGAATTAAAACCAACTGCGAAGTAAACGTTTGCTAAGCAACACATTTGCAACTAAAAATACTTTAATAGTTTACCTGGCTCCTCTAGTCCCTAACTGGTCATTCTCTATTTAAGCATGATTTTCAGCACTCTACTTACTTTTAAAAGAATAAAACTACGACGTTTGAAGTCATCTTGACCCCATATTCAAGCAGAGGTGTTAGCTGTAGTTTCGAGATTACATACAAATAATAATGTACTCTATCACCTAAATTTGTATTTAATCTCGAAACTACAGCTAACACCTCTGCTTGATAATGCAGTCAAGATGACTTCGAAACGTCGTAGTTTCATTCTTTTAATATTCATTATCAAATGTATTTCGAAATGTTCTATTTATTGTTATTATTATTATTATCATTATGAGTATACAAATAAAGGTTGTGGTTGTTGTTAAGGTCTATCAGAATTAATTGATGAAATTGACATGGGAACAGCACTAACCTCTTGTAATCTTGAGACATTCCAGTTGGATTCTTTTGACAAGTATATCAGACTCTGGAGCTCATTACCATTTGCGAACTCTCGACAGAATCTTTTCGTCAAATACTTATCACTGCAGTCACAGCCGCCATATATACAGTAATGGGGGACCCTCTGACTTCGTTGTGGAATGTTATCGGACATAATCTAGGATATAACAGACGTAGCTCAACTGTGGGAATGGTTAGGTAAGAAACTCGCAAAATAAGTACTAGCTACAGTAGAGACATGTCATATCCCTTCTCCTAAGAAAATAATACACGAAAAGGGGAATTCCATGATTAATGCTGGATACGAGATGATAAAGAAAACAAAAATAAAACAAGAGTGGACATTAGACACAAAACTTAAGGTACTAAAATTTACTGAAGTGCTCAGTTAGCTTAATTTTACGCCGAGAACCAATTTTCACGCGGTACGTTAATCGCTGGCCTAAATATATTGGTCGCTTTTTGTTGTGCATTTACAAGAGAGCATTTCAACTAAATGTTTCCTATTAAAGTCACCCTAGCTGAGTTAATGGTGACATATTGCTATGGCCTTTTGTGGTTTTCTAGATGGCGTGGCGCATTAGTTAGTATGCCGCGGTGGTAGAGTTTCAATGATTTTCCACGTTATAAGGTCAAACACAGGTATCGTGCTAATGGCTGAAATAATGGCTGAAAACCAAGATTCAGTACAGTAAGAAGAAAATTAAAAAATTCATTATGCTAGCTCAGTCCTGAAATTTATAACTATAATAATTATATTGTTTTAACCCAAGGGGTATTTATTACTCAAATTTATTGAACACAGCCGTCAAAAGGTTATTAGTTTTAGCTACATATAGATCTTAATTCGTCGAGTTTTAACACAATATTATAATCTTATCAAGGTGCAATATATTTAATCTTTTTTTTTCGAGAAGTAGCAGGAGTAGTTTTAGTCTTGATGTTTGCTGTTTATACTCTTTTACACTTACGATCAATGAATTATCTGCAGAGATCTGACATTAATTTTCATACATGTATGAAGTATGTATATTAATTGCTATTTTAAAACACACTATATTAATCATATTATGTTAAACCGAACTGAAGTAAATTTATAATTACAAAGTCTTAGTTTAGTTCCACTTCGTCACCTGTAAGGCGGTGACATTGACATCGGAAGAAAATGATCATTCCTTTTCTTTTCCATTTATACGATACACTCTTAGCTTCTCTGTGCAAAGAAAGATAAGTATTATATTAAATACTAACATGCGGGAACAAGGAGACCTGGGAAGAGGGGAAGTACAATATTTTAATTATCATTATATAACATTCTGGACTATTGAAAACATGCTTTGTAAGCATATATATTTGGAATGTGCTTTGTAAAGCATTTTTTTTTTTCGCTGATTCATGTTCTTCCGTCACGCTTTCTTTTTGCAATAAACTTCAAATTCTAATAAATTTCAATGTGACTTGTGCGATGCAAGTTAAGTAGGCTATACTCTCAGGCACTTGCAACAATGCGTGGCTGAACACACTAAACAGTCTTCTTCCATTGGCAAACACTTCACTAACAAAAACTGTATTGTTCCGAAAGACCTGCACAGACATTTTTCCGTTCTCAGGAAGTGCATGAATAAGTTCGATTCTTTAGTGCATGAAATGCTGCTAATTAGAGAGTTAACACCATCTCGTTATGTCCAGTCAGACTCAATCCACCGAAGGAAAAACGATGGTGGCCGTACATTTTACCACAATGCATTGCGAACCTAAAACAGCCTATAAGGCACAAAGAAAGCCAAATTTTTACAATATTTTTCCCTATGCTAAGACATTGAGTAGCCTAGGTTTGAAGATTTTATAACGTTTCTGTACGTTTCTATGAACGTTGTTAGGGTTTTTGTGCGCTAATAAGTACCAGTCGCCATCTTTTTTCCTATGGAGGATTCAAGCAAAACTATTTGCGTGACATGTTAATCTTGAACGAATTTTTTGACAGTTTATCTTTTTGCATTTGAACTTGAAAATGGTGTCACGATGTCACCGAAACGTTGTTCTTTCTTATTGCTAAGTTTTACTTGGTTATTCCTTCCTTAGACGCGTGCATTATGTAAAACCACGAATATGATCATGCCTTTATTTGTTTATTGTTGTTATTAGCTTTTAAATTTGGTTTACGTTTTGCTTTTAAGATTCAGTCTCGGTTTAGGTGACGGTGAGGTAACAAATTATTCTTCTGGGACAACCTTTTGCATCATAATTCAGTGACAAGACTCGTTTACAGAGTAGACGCGATTTGAGGTTTAAGATTACTCTCTGCAAGTACTGCTGTTCACATTAGCAGCTCCCAGCAAACTTCAAGGTCGGGTTGTTCGCCAAAGCAGATTGCTGAAATGCGTTGAAAGTATACCAAAAATTAAAAGAGCTCAGCTTTAGAAATTGAAAATACTACGGAATGCATATGCACCTCCAAGCAGCATTGTTCCGAAAACGCAAGGGACTTAAAATAATTGACTTCTATTCTGTTAAAGCCAACCTATATTGAACACATAAGAAGTCTAAAATCTACTGTGCCAAAGAAAAAAGCCACTTACCAAGTCGCAGATGGTCGCGTGGAGAGCTCTCACTTCTAAAGCATCCTACACGTATGTTGTGATAAGTTAGGTCAAAACGTGTGAAACGTGTGAAAAAATTGAAACTGACAAAAAACCCGTCAAGGGAAAAACCCCTTGACACCACAGAGGTCACTTGTCTGATGTTGTTGTTAGTTCTACGGTCGACACTGCTTGTCCGACTGGTAATCACGTTGATTTATTCGTAAGGTAAAGATTAAATTAACAAAAAATCTTCGTCAGTTAACTGTATCGGTTGTCTCAAGGATTTTTCAACAGCAAACGATACTTTCAGTTTGAAGGGACTTTTCCCGTCTGGATTTTTGGCTTTATTTGATGATAATTCCGGAAACGTCTATTATTCTGCTTATGGCGAATATGAAACCATATATGGAGTACATGGAATGTGCAACGTGAGGGTTTTCCACGGGAAAAACCCCTCTTACAGATTTTCGCTTTCTTAATGCTCTAAATAAAAAGCACATCAAGTGTTAATTCAGTCGCAAGTTGTCGCTAGGCGAGTAAAGGTTTGTGACTCTCTGAAGCGAAACTAGAATATTGATTAGTGACGTCACATAAGTTTTCTTATGGCTTTGTTCGTGTGTTTTCCCGTCTTAGACAGCCGACCCTCAGGTAGCCAGATCTTTGACAAGGAGCACAAGGATGAAGGGAAAAACTATCTTCAAATGGCCACTGATCGATGAAGTCAAAGACAGAATAACAGGTTCGAATTATATATATGCTTTCAAAGTAAGTTATTGTTACGTGTACCCATTTATTCATTGAATCGACCAGGTCGTTAGTTGACCATTCCTTCAGCCGTCTTGAAATATTTGCAAATGTTCATGGCACGTTTGTGTGCAAATCAAAAGCTAAGTAGCTTTAAAGGGGTTTGATTTTTTCAATGCTCACAGTCTTTATTTTAGCATACCTGGTTACCTTTCTTTCTTAACGGCGATTGTGAATTATGGATTGAAAATTAATTAGCCCAAAGAAACAGTTTAGCGTGAACTCAGGACTCAATATTTTGCGTACAGCATATTTCGCGAAAATATCTGCTGCTGCTGTTTAGTTAGTAATATTACGTTAATTCCTTCATATTAAAAGGGAGAGGTTAAAAATATAACCCCGAACAGATCATTACAAATGTTGTCCCGATTTTATTAGACCTACGTGTGGCTAAATGTTCCTCTTAAACATGCAGTTGACTCATGTTTCTGTCACTCGTGTGACTGACTTCTCTTGGTCAGCGATTTAGTGCGCTTTGTGTATCTGTAACTCAAACCGTCACTCAGACCTCAAACGACACATTTTTTAGCTGGAAATGAACTTGCACAAAATCTGTTAGCTTTCAATTGCAGGCAATAGCCAGACACTGTATTTGTGTATGTCGACACTGCAGTTTATATATTAGTGTGATCTAACTTCATTTATTAAATGTGCAAGCTCTTTTCCTGGTTGTAATAATAGAATATTAAAAAAAAAAAAAAGAAAATAAGGTAGAAATGTCTTTCAAAAACTCTAACCCTAACGAGAAATTCAAACTTGAATTCATGGAAATATACATAAGTTTATCTGTTACTAAACACGAAAGGTTGTAGAAGTCTGTGTTGCTAAATGCTTTTGTTTGTTGAATGAATTAAAGTCGACTATACAGTTAAGATAATTATTCGCAGCTCAGATCCAAATTTTCACGGACCTCGACACGATTAGATCTCTAGCCTTTATTTTCATTCTTAGTCCCTGTCAAATAAAAGTAGTATAAATGTGGAATTTACAAGGAAAAGGCACGGAAGTTTTCTCCAGAACAGAATTGGATTCTGTTAAAAAACAAATGATGCCATGAAATATACACAGAGTAGTGTAACTTATCTACTGTAACTTGTAGGTAGGAGATGGTATAGTTTTTACTTAAAAACTGTTTTTTTTACGAAACGAAACGAGAAGGAAACCAGACATCAGCATGATATATGTTTGTGACGACAGCATTTGCCAACTTACCTACCTTACCTTACGGTCGGTTATCATAAGAGTGATAATAAAATCGGACGACCGCCGAGCGGGAGTCCGATTTGTTTATCACGAGTATGATTACAGACGAATTGGACGACGCGAAGTCTTATTACCAATTAATCATAAAAATTACAATTTCCGAGAAAAGAAGAATAGCCAAGTTATGGAAAAAATCGGAAAATTTGCATTAAAATACCTGCTAAGGAGATGTAAATATTCTAAGGCCACCGCGCCTCCTACCGATAATTAGGCGCCAAAAACACAAAAGCGCACGCACGCACACACGCACGCACCTAGCCACAACTTTGAATGTGATTGGTTGAGTTAAAATTACAACTTTGAATGTGATTGGCTTATTGAACTGTCCAATAACAAACTGTCCAATAATAAACTGTCCGATAACAACTTCGCAAGTGAATTACTGGATCATGGGAGTTTTTTAAAACCAATCACAATCGAGGAAATTGTAATTTTTATGATTATAACAATAACAAGAACAACAAGAACAACAACAACAACAACAAGAACAATAACAACAACAACAACAAGAACAATAATAATAATAAATAGGTTCTTAGAAACGCATTTTACATCACATGGAAGTCTCAATGCTTATAAAGTCCTTTTACATAAAAACCCTAATAAAAAAGCCCTAATCTGAGAACGCTCTCTTAAAAAGAAAAGTTTATAATCTTGATTCAAAACGGTCCACGGTGGAACACTGTTTAACGACATTTGGCAAGTCGTTCCAAAGCCTTGGTGCGATAACCGAGAAAGATCTGTCACCGCAGGGAGCCGTTACCTTTTAGTTTTAGGGATAGACAGCAAATTTGAACTATTTGACCGCAGTGAACGTTGAGGCGTGTAATGAAATAACAGCTCGTTTAAGGTAATTCCCCTGAAATAAAACTGTCGATAGATTTTGTTCAAACTTTATCCACTGAATAGTTATCATATGAGAACTTAAATTATAAAATAAAAAGGGGGGGTTCCCAAGCTCGTTAGTGAGTTATAGCCATTTTTCAACCGACAGAACTCAATGTCAAGGCAAATTCGCCATGTTTTCAATGTGCGCGTGCACGAGCGCGGGCTAGTGACGCCATAAATTATGCCTGTAAGGATGCGCAATGCAAATGTGAGGAATCACCTTAAATAGGCTGGAGCAAAGCCATACAGAACTCTGTGAGTGACCAGAAGAATTATAAAAATTATTCTTTCTTTGACAGGAAGCCAATGTAGGTTTTTTAATATTGGAGTGATGTGGGCTGACTTTGTTTGCTCTGACAGTTAGCCTTGCAGCAGTTAGCTGTGCTTACCTTCTCATTGAAGAAACAAACGCTAATGGTAATGAGGTCATATATACGTCAGTTCCCTAAGAGATCATAAGTAAGAACCAATCAAAATGCGAGAATAATAATGACTTATTGTATAAATCTAAATAGAGAGCTCTAAGATGAGAAAAGTCAGTGGCACCACTGTTGCGATGGCTTCCACTATGCCTCAAATAGTTGAGATTGAACACTGTGCTTTAATGGGGCCTAGAAACCAGTGGGTTATGATGGTGCTGTGCCGCACGTCGAATGGTGCAAGGGACATCTGTGGTAATGCATTGTGGGAGAGTCTTCTTGGACGTTACCTTGACGCCAAAGTGGAAGTGAAACACAATTCTGTAACAGTCAATCTGCCTCCTATTCAAAACTACCTTGAAATTGCAGTATTTGGAACCCCGGGAGAAAATGATATGATACGCAAGCAAGTTGCCATCTTTGGTCCCAAACCAGAAAAGGGGCAAACCTGGACCATCAATACAATATTATATGATGACACTGTGCGGGCTTTTGAGGTAAAAGATTCTGTATACAGTAATTTGGGCAGTAGCCACACCCTTGAGATATCGAGTTGAACACTCATATAGTAATAACTGCGATCATTCATTCAAACAGACCTGTCCTAACCATCGGGCGTACATGCGTATACCCCCACTGTGGTACAAGATAACGGGAGGGGAGTTGGGTGGAGATTCCCACTTGCGTTTTATTAAGGCAAAATCAGTGGAATGTAGAAAGTTTCTATTTTCAAAAGTCTACCGGACAGATGACAGAAGAAGAAAATGATTGTGCAACAGAACGTTAGATTTCCAAAATAATTACAATAGACAGACAGTACCAAGAGAATTATATTGAAGCTTCCTGTTGGTTTAGACGTAACTAACTGTTTGTTCCCTGAACATAACTAGCAATTACGCCAGAAGGAAAGAGAAAGGGGCAACAAACTGCTTACGGCACGTTCGGGATTGTTCGTTGCCAACATCGAGGACGATATCAACATTGAGCTAAGTGCTCTGCAACCAGGATGGCGAATCAAAGGATCTGAAATAAAGGTACCACAAAATTGACGATTATCATTAACAATTATAGGAGGTTGAGCAAAATATCAATTATTTGCCGAAGCTGAAGGCTTCCGCAAATAATTGATACAACAAGCACTCAAATGATTGAGAAATGGGATGCAAAGGATTGTTTAACGGGGCAGAGAGGGGAAGGGGGGGGGGGAGGGAGAGAGGGGAGAGATGGGGACGAAAATGGGAACTTCTAGCCGTTACATCCGATATTTTTCAAAACCTGCCAAGCAAGCAAAAATGTTAACCAGCCACGCAAAATAACTCACAGCTAGCTTATCCAAAGTTATGCCTGGGGTACATTTCGTGTTGAGTTCTTTTGCGCCTTTGTGGCCTGATACACTTAAAACGGAGCCATGATGTGCTAAGAGCAGTACCGTTGCTTAATTACTGTTTAACGGAATAAAAATCCATCTTGAATCGTTAGAAATTTAGGTGTGGTTTCAGAGAAACAAAAAGACAAAAACACCTAGAAATCCGCCTAGAAACATAACAAGAAAACACTGTCCTAGAGCGAGATAGGGTTATTTTTATTCATACTCTTTCGTATGTTTTAGGCCTAAGAAAAGAACCATTTTTCCCTTCAAAATATTTTTATTTCGACTGTAGAGTAACCTCAATACTAACGCTCATCTCACGAGCTTGGGCTACCTGTGACACAACAAACAACTGCTTTGTGTTATTTCTATACTACAATTTTATTTCTTCCCTAGGTCATAAAATCGAGAGATGCGTGGAAAATTCCAGAGAATGGTACCAATTTTCCACGTTGTAGTTGTGAAATTGTACATGTTGATGAAACCAAGGAGTCGTTTATATGTGGAATAACCGTCTCGCATGGAGAAGAGACCACCAAGGCAGAGGTCGTGGCGATTTTCAAACAAGTAAGACTAGATGAGTTAACTGACAGCTGACAAATGCAAAAATTTTCAATGACAACTGACGTTTGAAGCAGACTTCTCTGACATCTGATATTTATTATAAGCTCTAAATTTCTATTACTTATAGCAATTGCGAGCGAATAATCTAATTGTTTTGGTATAAATCTAGCAGTCGTTCAAAATTTTATCTAAATCTTTCACGAACACTTCGAAAACGCAAAGCGGCCGTCATTATATAGGCCGCACACTGCTAGCCTTCTCACCTCCTGCTAAACCGTTAGATTATGAGCTAGAGATTTCTGTCGCATGATGCGCCCTCGTCAACTATCACGCATAGAAATCGAAAGCGAATAATCTAATCGTTAGGGTATAAATCTACTAGTCGTTCAAAACTTTATCGTAATCCTCTTCACAGACACTTCGAAAACGCGAAGAGGAAGCGTCCCCCAAAACAAGCAACCAATGGAAGCAAGTAAGTAGCGTTGCCAATTAGAGAACGGAATTCGTGATGGAATATGGCCTTAGGTGTCCTGCGGGGCACGATGAGGAATGAGATGAGATTCGTGATAGAATGCTAGCAGATTTATACTGAAACGCTTTAGATCTTGATATTCTAATGAACTTTCTGGTTTGTATGTATGCCTTTGTCTTTTTTCCTTTTTTATACGAACTCATTACGCTTGAGTTTTTCATTTGAAACAAGTGGGGATGCTTGTCGTCTCGTTTAAGGGTGTAAATTGCGGATTTTAACTTGGTCTCATGTAGGGTGTTCTGGACAGAAAACAATGGGTATAGAAGAGGTAGTCTCTAAGAATTGCAAAATGTACTTTCACCCATTAGGGTATCGTATGGGGTTCCACGCGAAGTACGAAATTAGAAAAAAAAAATTCCTCATTTTGCGATGGTTTCGAATTGGCATGCACTTATGAAGAAAACCNTACTTTCACCCATTAGGGTATCGTATGGGGTTCCACGCGAAGTACGAAATTAGAAAAAAAAAATTCCTCATTTTGCGATGGTTTCGAATTGGCATGCACTTATGAAGAAAACCTTCAATGAGAAAGTCTTTAGCGGCATGAAAGTCACTATAACTCTTATTGATTCATTTCACTAGTTTAAAATAGACTATGAAATAAACGGAAACGAGCACTTCAGTTACCATGACTTACTTGCTATTTTTAGATTGTTGGAGCACATATCAGCGACAAAAAGCGAAAGAAAAAGATTCAAGAAGAGAATCTCATCACTTCCGATAAACTTAAAAGAGGTAACTTTTTGATTTAGTTTAACGTCTAGAGCCACCTCCGGATTGTTCTTCTATGACTTGGGTTAGTCTTCCTCCAATCTCGTTTTGTCGCCTTGTTTGAATTTTCTCACTGTTTTGTCCGGCCACTTACTCCTGTGAATGCAAAGAATCAACGAAAATGCTATTAATGTGCTTCGACAATATTTGAAAGAAAAGGAGTTGAATGAAAACAAGCCCGCATCATCGAACAAGAAACCGCCGGCGATCCTTTTATTCAGAACTTCCATGTTAAATACTCCCAACACTGAGTTGATTCGTCTAAGGTAGGTAGTCGACTAGTCGACTGACCGGAAGTCGAATCGTGCGTTAACATAAGCCTTCTTCGCTCTTAAAGTGTGGAAGGTAATAAATGTTGACAAATCAACAGCAGCAGCAACAACTTTTTTTCGCTCCTGTACTTTACAACAATTTTACACACACACACTGAAAAAAAAAGTGCAAATATTGAGCCTGGAGGCTAAATAACTGGGAAGTTTTCGAGTTAGCCTCTAGTTACATTAAAGTTACTTCTGAACAAATCAGGGAGAGCCGAACTAAATAAATAAGTAAATAAATAAATAAATAAATAAATAAATGTAGAAAGTAGATTTTAGGACAAGGTTTTAAAGTGTTGTTCTGACAGCAAATAAAGTTTTAATTTTTTTAGTAAAAACTGGAGACACTTTTCTAAGATTTTTAAGTCTAATGGGACATTATCTGAAAAGGCAAACTGAAAGCAGAGTTAGCTTGCTCTTCAGTTTTATATAAATTTTGTTTGGAAGCATATCTGGTGTTATACCATGAATAATACTTATACACTACTTGATTCGTCACGGTAAGATGAGTGGCATGAGATATGACAGCATAAATCTTCTTGTACTGTTGGAAGTATGAATACTCAGAGTATTTCTCAAAGTATGCAATGGCTGAAAACAGTTCTGGTCGGTCATTTTAAAAGCTGTTTCGTTTGATTTGTCCTAGTGCTCCTTCTTGTAGCAATAAGCTGTGCTCTATCGCTTATTGTGGCTGAAGCCGTATTGACTTTTACGCTTTCGAATGCACGCCCAGAAGGTAAGCATTCTTAATTTAAACGTTACTTGCTTGTCATATCTTGAAATCTGAATCCATCAGTGTTCAAGCAAAAATACGGGTAAGTATGCTGTACACTGAATTCTCTATATCAGTCCTGCGTTCGTTCCAACCGCC